TACTGTGGGAAGAACTGACTGTTTTTTGGAATGCTGGTTTGCGTTTTGCGTTTGTTTTTGCAAAATGCCGCGGTAAGCAAGAGTCGCCACCGACTTTTATTTTATCCAACAGGAAAGGAAAAAAGCACAGAAAAATTCCTTTTTCGAGATATTTCTCGGGTTCGGGGGGTAGATTATAGAAAGGGAAGGTATTAGCACCCTTTCTATCCGTGGTTATCCACAGGCTCTTAGGTACTTGCTCAATTGTTTTCAAAATTGCTTTCTTTGTACTTGTGGGTTTGAAAAAGTTTTTGTTTGAAAACTTCAATTTAACTCTTGCTTCTGTCCTCAAGAGTGTAATGAAGTGTTTTTGAAAACTTTGTTTAAAAAGGAGTGTAAGTGCGAAAAGTTTTATTTTTGAAAGAGCAAGTATCTAAGAGTTAATCTACCTACTCGAAAAAGGAATCGTTCTATACTAATTTCCTTTAGACAATGCTATCCCACTATTAATGAGTAGGTAGCACCGTCGTTGGAGTTTAAGGGTCAATTCGAATGAGGGACTTACAGTCACTAAAGCAATGTTAGGACGCCTTAGCGGTAACACTAATGTCTTAGATAATTTGTTTGAGGCAACAATATCCGAGGTAACCATTTCGAGGCGACTATGATCCTTTAGACAAGAGGACGACTTCTAAAACGACCTATACTCAATGACCGTGTACGAAGGCAACCAAGTGGGGTGTACCCTAAGAGTGCACATGTGTCGTTTTTAGTTATTTTTATCTTTGTACATGTTAAAGGTGATCTAATTTGATTTTAAGATTAACATTCAGTCTTGTCATGCAAACCCTATTATCAAACATCTGGCAATTATAATTTGCGGAAATAAAATGCAGAATTTAAATTACAAGGCGCCGGGTATTTACATCGCCAAAGACAAACCCTTTGAAAAATAAAGTAAAGCGATAAAAATAATTAAATTTCCTATTTAACTATTACAATTCGGAAGCAGATACGTTAATATGATAAAAAAAATAAATCGCAACGCAAAAATTATATCGGACGCATGATTAGGGTTTTGACCCTTTTGGGTAAAGAAGATATCTTTTTGTTGTTTTTATTTTAAGAAAGAAATAAACTCTAAATTAATTACTAAATTAAATCAATAAATTAATTAAATGAAAAATAAATTATTTTTTGGAGTTTTTGATTATTTAGGAAAGAAATTATAATAATTAAATTAATGGTTAAAAACTAGTTAAGTCTAATTAATTTTATTTATTTTTTCAAAAGTAATTAAAGTTCTCTAATTAAAACCTAATTAATTAATAAATTTATTATGAAAAATAAAAGATTAAAATTTGATTTGAAATAAAAAAATATTTTTTGTGATTTTATTTGATGAAAAAGGGAATTTTGTTATTGGTTAGAAAATTGAATAAGAACAATAAAACAATTAAAATAAAATAAGATAAATAAAAGAGAGAGTTTGGGCCTGATTAGGTGGTGTTGATAGCAATTCCATAAGCCCACTTATGCTGGCCTTTTTGACTTTCCTTGATCCAGTATGCACGCATGGACTTGGCCTATGGTGGACCTCCAATCATGGACCACCAGATCTGGCCTTTGGCCATCTGGCACTTGAGTGGATGAAGGACTATGGTGGATAGCAAGCTAACACGCGCATGTGAATACCTGAAAAGAAACAAGAAAATGCAAAGTGCTGGAGGCAGGGATCGAACCCCTGACCTCCAGCCCCCTAACGCCTTAGAAACTGACTTGTTGACCACTGGAACACGCTGCTTCATTTGTTATATTAATATAAATGATATATATTATATAAAAACAAAGCTATTGCCAGAAACTTAATAAAAACGTGCGCTTGGTTTGAATGGCCCAATGATGGGACGCCATGCATCGTCCCCAACCTCTCGTCCGTGGCTAAAAGATCACAAACCTATACCAACAGACAGAAGTCCGTAGCTATAAGCAAGTCCACCTCCAAAATTTGCTACAAGCCACAAAAATGCATTTCAAGGGCATGGTCATGCTCGTCTTAACCTCCCGGTCCTAACCATACCCTTCATGGAGGTCAATTGTTCCTGAAATAAAAACGCCCAAAAACTCCAAGCAAAACCTAGCTATGGTGAATTACAACACAGACCATATAAATGAAATTAAATAATGCAAAAAGCTTGGAAATGCTCTTGTGATCACAAATATGCTAATAGTTTTCTCAAATGATGCAAGAACAAGCCAAATCGATTTCAAGAACATGGCTATGTTTCGTGAGACTTACAGGTGGTTTGGACGTCTGAAAATGCTTGCTTTGGATCTAGGTAGCTTGTATGAATGGTCAGGAAGCGATTGAGACCACTCTCGTGTCCTGAAACGGCCTCTAGCTTAGACTTTGATCTCTCACTTTTTTTGTGAATTTTTGCACTTTTGTTCTGCCTCTCTCCACAGCTTCCAACCCTTGTTTTCGTGTCTTATGCTTGCCTATGTATTGTGTACTGGATTAGGGTAACAAATTTGGTTCAAATCTTGCTCCAATAATGATTGCAAATTTGATTTGATTCTCCATGAAAAACCTTCCAAATTTGATTCAATTCAATCTTTTTGCACATGATTTGCTATGAGTTTGGAGATGTGCTAGCTGTCCATTGAAGCCTATAATCAATAAAAAATCTTTGGTTATCAATGTTTTTGATTTTATGTGATTTAATTTGATTTAAAATGAATAAAATCAAATAAAAATAAAATTAAATAATAAAAATGATATATGGACACATGGCTGAATCTAGGAAACGTGGACAATGATTCAAACTCAAATCAAGTGGAAAAGAATGGGCCTATTTGACAAAATTTGAAGTTTTGGGGATAGTTGACTTTTGGCAATTTTGCAAAAAAGTCCAACTTCAACAATGCATAACTTCTTCAATTTTGAACTTTTGGAAGTGTTCTTGGACTTTTTAGAAATCTTGAGATATCCTCTAACCAACCCTTTTGGTCTCATATCATTTTTATATTCCAAGCTCAAGTTATAAGCTTTGGCAAAAAAGGTGTTTTTGTTGATTTTCAAAAATGACCTATAATATCCAAATTCATAACTTCTTGTGAGTGCATTTTTTGATCTTGGGGTATGAATATGGATTGTAGGAAATTTCATCCTCTTAAAAATGAGCTTTGGATGGGTCATTTATCATAAAGTATGAGAAAGTTATGCTTGGTCAAAGTTGAGTTGACTTTTCCTACAAAACCCTAATTTAGAAACTGTTGAGTCTTGATGAATTTTGAGAAATCCTTGATGAATCATGATCAAACCTAGATAAAATGATGAAATATCCTTCAAAATGAGAAATTTGGCAAAAAAATCTTGAAGTTTGACTGTTTATAGGTCACAGTTGACTTTTGTCCTAGCACAGTCGACTTTTGGACCTTTTGAGCAATTGACTGAGCAAACTTCCTCTGCAAGGCTTGAAATTTGACATGGATGATCTTGAGAGCATATAAGGACATTGGTGAGAACTTGAGGTCATTGGGAATCAAGAATCTTGATGCAACACAAAACCCTAATTTGGGGAAGACTGCCTTAGGAGATAACTTATCTGACCAACTCTTGAGCTACCTTGAGCTACTTGGAGATTTTTCTTGCAATGTCTTGAGAAATATGAGAGGGCAAATTTTGGGGTACAACATCAAGCTTTTTCTTCAATTTCATACACAAAGTTTTTCTGCACATTTTCATATATTGTTAAACGGAAAACTTCGAGCATTCTATAGTCTTGAGTCATTGTATATTATTGTTATTGGAAGAGAATAGCAAGTCATTGATAAAATCACTCAAAGTGATTATTGCACTACAAACTCTATCAATCAAATATTGCTATACATTTTCTTATTTTTCAGGATTGTTGAAAATAAGTTCAAGTGGTTTTGTAATCTTGTTTTTCCAAGATTATTGGATACAAGTAAGGTCATCTTGAGAGGATTGTTCTTATTGTTGACATAGTGAAAATCCAAGAGGATTGTTCTTGGTCCAAGAGGATTGTTCTTGGTTTTGGTAGTTCTTGTTTTAAGTTTGCCACTATAAGAAAATCTCTTTCATGTTGAAAGGGGACTGAAGTACTCTCGGACTGTGAGGGGAACCATGATATATCGCTCGTGTCTCTTTATTTTTCTGCATTTTACTCTTTCATAAACACACCATAAACCAAAAAAATATTATCTATCATCACAAAAAACCAAAAAATATTCAAAGTGCCTAATTCACACCCCCCTCTCTCTTAGGCGCACTTCGTACTTACAAGAACGTGAAAATAGAAAAAAGCGGTAGAGAAATAGAAAAAGTTAATGGAAACCGTTAATGAAAGGATATGGAAGGATCCAAAAATGAAACTATCGTGTAATGATTATGGAGAAACAAATTGGGTGGATTTACTAAAATAGAATGTTGGAAGCAAAGGTATTATTGGTTTTTAAAGAGCCACTAACTTTCTTATATGATATTCCCTCTATCTCAAAATAACATTCTTATATGATATTCCCTCTATCTCAAAATAACAGTCTTTTTACTTTTCCAATATAATTATAATTAATTTTTATCAATTTTATCTCTTATATACATTTTTTTCAAGTAGGACAATGTACTACAATCAATAATAATAAAAAAAATTTTTATAAAAATATTATTTATATTGATTCAATCATTATTTTTTTTAATCTCTATATAACAATCTTAATCTCCGTATTATTTTGAGACGCATGTAGTAGATTATATGATGGATGAGGAAATAAGAATTTGCCAAAAATCACATATTTTGAGAAGATCAATTTTAATTTTCTCGTGTCATTATCCACGATTCTCCACGTCCGAAAGTAGTAAACTCCACGCATGGAAACAGAAAGCTCCTTTACTCCGCCACGTGTCCAAGGAGTTGATGATGCATGAGTTGCAGTAAAAGAGCCTAAAACACGATGAAGAAATAGTGGAGACAGAAAATCGGAAGAGGACGATAACAATGAATGCGGTGAACACGTTAATGATAATTCGGTTACTAACTCGTAACCAACTCGCTAGCCATGAGGAAATACCCTACGGATCAATGTGGTGGATCATCTACGCCGGAGTTTCATGTTTCCTTGTCATCTTCGCCGGAATCATGTCAGGTCTAACCCTAGGGCTCATGTCATTAGGACTTGTTGATCTTGAGATTCTTCAACGGAGTGGTTCTCCGTCCGAGAAAAAGCAAGCAGGTTTCGTTCTCTTTTCGGCTATGATTCCATTTTTTTTAGCTTTTCGGCTTAGCGTGTGATCGAGTTTTGATTTAATAGTTTTGGATTAGATTTAGGAAAATTTGAATGTTGAATTCTTAACGTGCTTTTGGTATTTGTGTGTGTGTGTGTGTGAGGATGCAGCGGTTATTCTTCCGGTGGTTCAGAAACAACACCAGCTTCTGGTGACTTTGCTTCTGTGTAATGCTGCTGCTATGGAGGTAATCTGATTACAACGCTTCCGTATTTTTAAGAAATTTTCATTCAAGTTTAGAAAAACAAATTTAGTTATTATTATCAAGGTTTTAAATAACAGTCTGCGAATGTGAATCGTGATTTCGGTAGTATAACTATTGCAACACTCATGAAATAACCACAATTGTTTTTTATCAGAAAAACCGTTAACTGTGTCAGTATCGGCACCTTCCGATACTGTTTTGCAAGAATTCGTCCTTAGAAAATAACCTCTTGAAAATAGTGTTTGGTGATTAAATTATAACAAAGTGTTAACTAAAAAAAACTGATTAGGCAGACTAGAATAGTTTGTTTGAAATGTTCATTATAGTTGATTGCATATTTGCTGAATTAGCTTTTTGGGTACTAGATGCTATGTTTGTCTACTATATTAGGTATTTATGTTTGATGTTGAATCATTGGTTGTGTTGAGTTTGATTCCTAAATCATGCCTAACTTGCAAACAGTTGTTGGCTTTGAAATTTCAATTTGCAGGCACTTCCGATATACCTAGACAAGCTGTTCAATCCGTTTTTAGCTGTCATTCTCTCTGTGACTTTTGTTCTGTTTTTTGGGGAGGTATGTTATTTTTCTATGTTTCACAGTTCTGTTGTTTAGCATCAATATTTGCACCCAATGAATATCAGGAGATTTATTGTTTTAGCTCCCTTTTCATTTCTCTTCTCTTTTTTTTTTCCTCACTGATTTCAGGTTATTCCTCAAGCCATTTGTAGTAGATACGGCCTTGCTGTAGGTGCCAACTTTGTATGGCTTGTACGAATTTTAATGATAATCTGTTACCCAGTTGCTTATCCTATTGGAAAGGTGACATACAATACCATACATAGTTTAAATTTTGAAGTGCTAGTCCTTCTAGTGTATGAGCTGTTGATGTGGTTGGTTTATGCATTTGCCTGTATGAGTTATGTTTCTTTCCTTTTCATTGGATAATCAAGTATAATATAATTATGGTGAATGAGAAAAGAAATTAACAGCATATCATCTCAAGACACTTCCATGAAACATCTATATGTAAATATGGTTAGCTTATGTACTTTTTTTTTTGAAAAGGTTAGTTTATGTATTTGCATGTATGAGTTATGTTTCTTTCGTATTCATTGGATAATCAAGAATATTATAATTAAGGTGAATGAAAAAAACAAAATTAACAGCATATCATCTCAAGATGTTTCCATGAAACATAAAATATGGGTAAATATGTATGAGGCATACAAAAAAGTAAGTTCTTTTTGTAGTCTTGTTTGGTTTAAACTTTATTTGAAGTGTCAAGTGAGTGTAATAAGTCTCACATTGGATGAAAATGTGATTTTTGAGAAACATATAAGTGAGGGGATCTATATACCCAATGCCTTAAGATTATTGTTGAAGATATTTTGCTCTTAGTCCAATTTGAAGATCTCAGGTGTTTTAGGTTCTTCTTGTGACCCAGCATTTTATTTTTTAGCATATAATCAACATCATAGGCATTACTTTTGGCCGGAACCAAGGTCATCAGCCTTTTATCCTTTCCAAGTCAAATGACCTTTCAAAATGTTGGTATCGGCTCAACTTATAGATTGATTAACTTGATTGTAATGTCGCCTCAAGGGTTTCTTTTTCTCACTGATATTTATCCAGGTTCTAGATTGGTTATTAGGTCACAATGAGGCGTTATTTAGGCGAGCACAGTTAAAAGCTCTTGTCTCCATCCACAGTAAGGAGGTATGAAAATAACTAGATATTATTACTGTGATTTAATTTAAAAATCAGCCACATTGAGTTTCCTGAAGTTATGAAAGTATATTACCATTATAGTTATTGGTGTTTGTTTCACAAATGTTGGATTTCTTGTTTTCAGGCTGGTAAAGGTGGCGAGCTTACACATGATGAGACAACAATTATCAGTGGAGCTCTAGATTTGACTGAAAAGGTATACACTGGAATTTATCCACTATATGATGTTGAATGTCAACCTATTTATTAATATTTCATTATGTGACAATAAAATACATTTTGCAATTTATGCGATTCAATACATCAGAGTTTGAAGTTTCCCACCTATTTATAACTTAAATAGACATTGATGATGATGGAGTGTAGAACCATGTGAAGGTTGCTTCATGAATCTGGTAATTACTAACAAGTTAGTATCTTCTATTTGGGGATGCTAGTACCGGTCAAGGGCTGCAGACATGGAGTGGGGAATTATGGTATATTAAGAGGGAGCTTAAAAGAGTTTATTTGGGCTTGTCTTATGACTAGATAGTTTGGAAGAACTTATGAAAATAGCTTATTTTATTCCTTTAATCTGTATTTAGTTTATTTTCTATTACTCAAATTAACTTTTAGAAATGAATTTTGTAGAGCTTTAGTAGAGTTTAAGCTCATTCTCTCTCTGATTGTAAAACAAAATTTAAAACAAAACATGAGTTCAAGTTTCAATATCTGAGTCAATATAGAAAAACTTAGAAGTATTGCAAATCCTGTTTTAGAACATAACATATTGTATGGTGGGGTGGGAACTACTGTAGTACCTACCAATGCCATACCCCTGGTTTTATTCTGGCAGTTACCAATTCTTTTAGCTTGGACATATTCATTTGATGCGTAATGATCCTCTACCCATTGGGCGTACCTAATAAATCTGAATCAATTGCTATCCTTAACAATATTGAGTTGTGTAAGACATATTTTATGCATCCTTTTTGCAGCAAACATCTATGCCATTTCCGTTTTTTGCCCATTTTAATCGTTTTCGTTGACCAGACTGCTGAAGAGGCTATGACTCCTATTGAATCAACTTTTTCTTTGGATGTTAATTCAAAATTGGACTGGTGAGTGTCTTGGTGATGCTTAGTCTATACTGTAAAAAGTATAGAATTATTGCTTACAAGATACTAAGTATACACGATCACTGTCCCATTTTTATATCCCTTAACCTATTTTATGTTGCGAATCTCAACCAGGGAGGCAATGGGAAAAATTCTTGCCCGCGGTCATAGCCGAGTTCCTGTTTATCATGGGAATTCGAAAAACATTATTGGGCTTCTACTGGTCGGTGCTAAATCTTCCCCCTTTTGATTTTATTTAATTTCTCTCTTCCCGACCTTAATTCATTGTTCAATTAGGTTAAAAGTCTTCTCACAGTTCGGCCAGAAACAGATACTCCTGTCAGTGCTGTCTCCATCCGGAGAATCCCACGGTGTGTTTGGATCCATGTGAATGATTTGTATAGTTTTTGACGTAGTTCCTTCCTGAAGTGTCATTTGCCCTTAAGTCAAGTATCTGTATTTTGTAATGGTTAATATTACAGAGTTCCAGCAGATATGCCTCTCTATGATATACTGAATGAGTTCCAAAAAGGGAGCAGTCATATGGCTGCTGTTGTCAAGGCTAGGGGAAAAGGAAAATTGCCTCCACAAATGACTGATGGGGAGAAATACGAAGAAAACAAAAGGGTTGGTGCCGACTCACAGTTGACTATGCCGTTACTACAGAAGCAGGATGAGAGGGCTGAAAGTATTGTTGTTGACATTGACAAGCCTTCAAGACCTCCCAGCGTTAACAAGCTATCTGCTTTGCAACGTAGTGATGCAGCAAATAGTTCCCCTACAGAAAGTATTGAAGATGGTGAAGTGGTTGGAATTATCACTTTAGAAGATGTATTTGAAGAACTTCTGCAAGTAAATTACAGTACTTTGAGAAGTTCCTTCCATGCTCAGTGATTAGTTAATATTTTTTCCCCTCAAAATTAATTGTATTTCTTAAATGATGCAGGAGGAGATTGTGGATGAGACAGATGAGTATGTCGATGTTCATAAGAGGTAATGAAGAATGTGTACTTTCAAAACATAATTTTTCAGAGTTGGGTTATACTACTACCTCTCTTCCTCTCTCTTCCTTACTATAAGATCCACTTTTTACATTTGTACTCACTTAATATAAGAGAGCATCTTCAAACTTTCACATGCATTAGTGACCTCTTTATAATATCCGTGAAATTTGTACGAGGTATTATGATAAGGGGCAGAGGTAGTATTGTTGAATTTGAATATTATAATATATTTTATGTTGCAGAATACGCGTTGCTGCAGCTGTGTCCTCAAGTTCACGGGCTTCATCAATCCGAAGGTTGGTTGGGCAAAAGGGAGCAGTAAGTGATTAACAATTATGCTTTTTTAAACTGTTTTTAATGTAGGAATCTTGTTGACCATAGAAGTTAATCTTTTTCTTTCTTCTGAAGAGAGGGTTATATATGGGGTTTGGGTACTGCATCTTAAGTTTTCTTTACCCGCCATTCGTGTGCAAATAGGAATGACATGGTAAGGGAATTGCATTAGTTAGAACTCATGAATTGGAATTATTTATCACTTCATTTAAATAGTGCAAATTTTCAATTGAAACTTTTAATCATAAAAGTAGGACAGAAGAATAAGAACTAATAGTAATTTCACCCGGTAATTGTTTAATGAATAGATTATTGGTATTTAAATAATTAATTTTGTTTACGATAATTCCAAATTTAGATTCGAGAAAGGCATTACCTATATCTGTCTTAAAACTAGAGGAAGGTAAAGACCTAGAAAGATCATAAGAGAAGTTATTGAGAAAGATTTCGAGATTAATGATTTGGATAAAAACATGATTCTAGATAGACCATTATGACGAAAATTAATCTATGTAGTCGACTCGATTTTGTGGGATAGACTTTGTTGTTGTTGTATAACTTTTGAGATCCTACATCGACTAGAGTCATGACTAAATCAGTCCATATAAGGTTTAGGAAATACCCGCCCCTTGAGCTAGATTTTGAGACTGAGATGTCCAAAGATCAAGTTCTTAGATGGAATCAGAATCTATCTTAGATTTGTTTGGTCCACTCATTTATTCAGGCTTCAGATATCCAGTTTCGGATATGAGGGTGTCTTGAGATCACTGTTATTGGGCAAGTACCGCCTACCCGCCCCATGCTTTAAATCTATAGTACTGAGTGTAAGGGTGTGTTTTGAAATCTCATATCGAATAGAGATATGATTAAAAACTAGTCATTATATGGCTTGGACCATCCTTACCCATTACTTTGCTTTTGGGCGTAGATGTTTCTTAGAGTAACCTTTAACCTCTTCTCACTTGGGATAGGCTTCTTAGACTTCAAATTATACAAGAAATGGTATGCAGTAATTTGCAGATTCTTCCTATGATCCCTTGCAATTTATAAGTGGAAGTTACCTTCTTTAGCCTCAAGAGATATTAGATGAGTTGTTACTTGTGTATATCACAAGTTTTTCTTTGCTAGGAAATTTGTTGTTGGAGAATGATTTAAATTTAGTAAATTGAATGTTGTCTGTAATTCAATTATAGGTGCTTATTTTTTTTAAAGAAAATAATTTTTGTCTTGATTTTAACCATCCAGGGAGGCCAAAATAAGCCAGGGACTCCAAAGAAATCCGCAGAGGAAGATGGACCGAACATTACAAGGTTACAATAATTTTGTTGACCTACTCGGAATAATTGAGTTTGTCATAATGAGGCCATTATTTTTTACTTTTGTATAGATATTTTCAAACAAGTGAGAAAAAGGTCGTCTCTCACTCACGTATATCATGACTTCTCTATAAAAAATTACCTTAGAACGTGTATTTTCGACATTATTATAGCTCAAGCTTAGTGAGCTAATGCTGCATGGATTTCTGATAGTAACTCCGAAACATTTGTTAGTCTCAGAGTGCCTAAGAGGGGGGGGGGGGGGGTGAATTAGGTCTTATAAAAATTTACTCGGTTTTATGAGAATGCTTGGTAGTAATTTTTGGTTAAGTATTTGAAGGTTTTGATTATATCTTTATCTTTTCTCGATTATGGTGATGAAAGCGATAAATGCGGAAAAGTAAAGAACACGGTGATATATCCTGGTTTCCCTCACAATCCGAGAGTACTCCAGTCCCCTTTCCAACACGAAAGAGATTTCACTATAGTTAGAATGATTGTACAGCCTATGCTTACTATCTAACCTATAGGGTGATCAAAGGTTCTTAACACCTTTAAGACCAAACAAACACTAATGTGAATGAAGAACAATCCTCTTCAAATCACAACACTTACTTCCAACAATCCTGGATAGTAAGGGAAAATCTTTAAGTAATACAATGATTAATTTTGAAGTATATGGAGAGCTTTATCAATCTTTAATTGATCTTCTTCTTCAAGATAAAAACAATTCTCAACAATGTATATAAATGTTCACAATGTATGAATGAAACTTGAAATGATAATGAAAGTGTATATGGCAAGTTTCACAAAATTATGAACACATGAAAGTATAATTTTAAATGTGAGTAAATGAGAAAATTGTTAATGAAGAAGGATATTTGTTAATTTGAAAATTGAAGTATTGAACATTGTTTTAAAATAAGAAAATCTGCATTTTATAAAGTTGCAAGAACCTCTTCATTCATGCCAATTCATATGAAAAGTTGCAATGCATTCATGAAAAGATACCACTTAAAAAATGTTCAAAAAACAAAGTAAAAGCTGCATTGGTTCGCTAGGAACCGGTTCCGACACTGACAGAACCCGGTTCTTAGTGAACGTTATAATTTGGATTTCAAATTTATCACGCAGGAACCGGTTCCTCCATTGGTACAATCCGGTTCCTGGTACAAAAACCAGGAATATGTTTTTTGAGAAAAGCTGGAACCCGGTTCCCTGTTAGGGAGGAACCGGTTCCTAAAGGTTTATTTTCAAAAATACATTTTGAAAGATATTTCAAACAAAGTTTTTCTTGATGTTAAAGTTATGGAATATGTATATGTTGATGAATGCATATTGTGAACATCTATATTCAAGGTTTTAAGAATTATTTATACCATATTGACATTTGATGATTTCTTTAATAATTCTTCAATAATCTTCAAGACTTTAATTTGACGTTGATAAGTTTTTTGCACATCCTTTGAAACTTGATGTCCATGTTGTCTTCATCAAAACACATGCTTTAAATATGACTTGAGAAGTTTGCAATTATATTCTCCCCCTTTTTGATGATGACAACCAAGTCTTGAAAACGATTTCTTGAAATGTTCATGTTGTTTTGTGTAGCGAACATGTTGAGCAAATGCAAGGCTCCCTCTAAATTGTATGTTCCCCCTAAGTCCATGATTCTTTGAATTTTGGAGAGAGTTTGATATTTATTTGGGCCTGCAATTTCTTGAAACACAACAACATACATGCATACTATTCTCCCCCTTTGTTAACATAAAAAAGGATGGGGAAAAAGAGTGAAATAGATACATTTAAAAATTAAGACAAGTATCTTAAGAGAAACATTAGATATCACCTTCATCCAAAATACCAAAATCTTTTCCAAGCTTTTTGTTCTTGATGGACCAAAGAGATCCATGTGTAACAATTGTAGTGGTCTTGTAGTAGACACCACATTCTTAGATTTAAAAGTTGTTTTAGTCTGTTTGCCCTTTTGGCATGCATTACATAATTTGTCCTTGATGAACTTCATCTTTGGTAGACCAATAACTAAGTCATACTTAACCAATTTGTTCAAGTGCTCCATGTGAATGTGAGCGATCCTCTTGTGCCATAACCAAGCGTCATTGCTGTTTACCATAAGATATTGTACTTTCAGAGACAAATCATCTAAAGTAATCATAAAAATATTGTTAGATCTTATACCTTTGAGTTTTACCCCATTGGTTACCTCATCCATAATGAGACATTCATCTTTGTTGAATTTGATCTTGAACCCTCTATCGCAAAGTTGACTTATGCTAAGAAGATTGTGCTTTAATCCTTCAACATAGAGAACATCCTCAATTTGAATGGATGGAAGTGTGCCAACTATTCTAACGCCAAGAATCTTTCCTTTGGTGTTGTCTCCATAGGTGACATACCCTTTGGCTTTATGTACTAGATATGAAAATTGGTGTACATCTCCTGTCATATGCTTTGAACATCCACTATCAAGATACCAAATATTTGATGTGGATTTCAAGCATACCTACACAAACAAATTATTCTTTGTTAGGTACCCAAGTTGCCTTGGGTCCTTCATAGTTAGTTCCCTTTTTCACCCACACATAATGCCCACTTGCTATACTAAAGTTTCTAACATAGCAAGCATTAGGTGTATGGCCTTTAATACCACAATAAAAACAAGTAGGTTCAAAGTTACTTCTATATCTAGAAGGATAAGATTTCTTCTTAGGAAATGTTTTCTTTTTCGATACATTAGCCTTTTTCTTTTGATGATTATGAACAACTTGCTTCTTTTCTACTTTCTTGGGATTGGAACTATTACTAGCCTTTACAAAAACAGTGGGATTGTTACTTGGTTTCTTAGAATTCACATAACCAAGACCTCTTTTATCATTAGGATAGCGTTGTTGGCTTAGTAATCCTTCCAATCCTATTTTTCCTTTTTCATATCGTTCAATGACTCTTTTCAATTGAACAATTTGAAAGACATTTGATTCACACTTGGAGCATGCAAAGTTTTCTTTTTCTTTAATAAAATTCTGTTTTTGAAGTTCAAAATCTTTAGTCAAGGTGTCAATTTTTTCTAAACAACTTAGAAGTTCTTTTTCTTGATTTGACACCTTTTTGTATAAACTTTTGCATTCTCTCAAGAGTTCATCAATAGCATCTTGAACATCATCATCAAAAAGATTAAATTCATTACTAACCTCTTCTTCATTGTCGGAGTGATGTGAAGCCATTAATGCTAGATTTGCACATTCCTCGCTTTCCGAATCGGATGAAGAACTTATCTCATTATCTTCCTATGCAACATAAGCCTTTTTGTTCTTGAACTCCTTTTTGCCTTTGAATCCATTTTTCTTGGAGAGTTTTGGACAATCCGGCTTTATGTGACCTTGCTTTCCACATTCATAACATGTGACATCTTGTGTTGATGTGGAGGCTTCTTTATCTTTGTGATTATAAAATTTCTTCCTCTTGACAAAGTTAGCATTATGAAGATTATTTTTATGACCAAAATATTTTCTTAACATTTTTACAAGAAGCAAGAAGTTTTCATCTTCCTCCGATGCATCTTTATCTTGAATTTCCTTTGAATCAACTTTCAAGGCAATGCCTTTGGATTTCTTCTCTAAATTTTCATGTTTTTCAAGTCTACCGAGTTCCGTTTCATATTCCTGAAGTTTGCCAAATAATGTAGCGGAAGTCATTGCGGAGAGACTCTTCTTTTCCGAGATTGTCGTTACCTTTGGTTGCCATTCCCTAGTCAATGATCTAAGGATTTTCAAGTTGAGTTCATCATTTGTCAAGGTTTTACCAAGAGCATTTAAGTGATTTGTCAAATGCATAAATCTCTTTTGTAAGTCAAGAATGGATTCTCCGGGCTGCATTCGAAATAGTTCATATTCTTGACTCAAGGTATTTAGCCTTGATCTTTTTACTTCAGCCGTTCCTTCATGAGTTTGAACCAGGGTATCCCATATTTCTTTTGCTGTCTTGCAGTTTGAGACACGGAAAAATTCGTCCATACTGAGTGCACCTTGAAGAAGGTTTATTACTTTTTTGTCATATAGAACTTTCTTTTTATCATCGTCGTCCCATGCAGTTTTGGGCTTTACAGAACCAATTCCATTGATAACAGATATCGGGATAAATGGACCATTTTCAACAGCATCCCATACTTCCTCTCCTTGTGCTTCTAAATGCGCCTTCATGCGTATTTTCCAGAAGTCAAAATATTCACCACAGAATAGAGGAGGCTTGTTGTTACTACCACCATCTCTGAAGACTGGTTGATGATTTGCGGAAGCCATTCTGGATCTTTAGGAACAAGTTACCTATAACTTGCTCTGATGCCAATTGTTAGTCTCAGTGCCTAAGAGGGGGGGGGGGGGGGGGGGGTGAATTAGGTCTTATAAAAATTTACTCGGTTTTATGAGAATGTTTGGTAGTAATTTTTGGTTAAGTATTTGAAGGTTTTGATTATATCCTTATCTTTTCTCGATTATGGTGATGAAAGCGATAAATGCAGAAAAGTAAAGAACACGGTGATATATCCTGGTTCCCCTCACAATCCGAGAGTACTCCAGTTCCCTTTCCAACACGAAAGAGATTTCACTATAGTTAGAATGATTGTACAGCCTATGCTTACTATCTAACCTATAGGGTGATCAAAGGTTCTTAACACCTTTAAGACCAAACAAACACTAATGTGAATGAAGAACAATCCTCTTCAAATTACAACACTTACTTCCAACAATCCTGGATAGTAAGGGAAAATCTTTAAGTAATACAATGATTAATTTTGAAGTATATGGAGAGCTTTATCAATCTTCAATTGATCTTCTTCTTCAAGATAAAAACAATTCTCAACAATGTATATAAATATTCACAATGTATGAATGAAACTTGAAATGATAATGAAAGTGTATATGACAAGTTTCACAAAATTATGAACACATGAAAGTATAATTTCAAATGTGAGTAAATGAGAAAATTGTT